GAGAGAGAGAGAGAGAGAGAGAGAGAGAGAGAGAGAGAGAGAGAGAGAGAGAGAGAGAGAGAGAGAGAGACAGAGAGAGAGAGAGAGAGAGAGAGAGAGAGACAGAGAGACAGAGAGACAGAGAGAGAGACAGAGAGACAGAGAGACAGAGAGACAGAGAGACAGAGAGGGATTTTCTTCACCATCATCAACTGGGCCCCTAGGCGTGAGGGCAGCATCAAACATCCCGTTGTGATCAACCTGCTGACGAAGGGGAGGAACTCGTCGAATGATCAACTTGCTCCTCGTCAGATGTGAAGCAGGAGGAGGAGAAAGAAGAGAGGAGGAAGGGGGTTCAGACAGCACGAGCGCAAGAGCAATCGAAGGGAGAAGAACAGCTGCATGGGCGCGGGCCTTTGTCGTTATATCGTTGTGGAGGGGAGGAGGTGGAGAAGGAGGAGGAGTAGAAGGAAGAAAGACGAGCAGGACGAAGAGGAGGAGCAGAAATGGAATGAAGACGAGAAGGAGGAGGAGGAGGAGGAGGAGGAGGAGGAGCTTACTGTCTTGGCTTCTGCAACATTAGCTGGTGCCCCCTGCGATCCTCATAAGAGGAGGAAACGATCAACGGGCATAGCCTCCGCCGCACCATAATGCTGATCAGCCTCGAGTCCGAGTCCGGGGGGCTCTCACCGGGAATGTAGATCTAAGTACACCAGAGTCAGCGCCCCGACCAGCGCCGGCACCAGCGGCCAGCTCACTCTAGTGTCCGTAGCTGACATGATGTTCTTCAGCACGATCCCTCCCTTCCCGATGATGGCTCCAACCTGCTCCCCACCGGTCACTCCTCCCCTCCCCCAGCAGGGAGTCCTCACCCATTCGTCGGGGATCGCAAGAACATCCTTCACGATTCCCTTGCTCTGCAGGATCGGGTCATGTGACAGCGACGGCAGACCACAGCACGCTCTTACAGCATCTGGGCCCTCGATAGTCTCCTTCACTAGCAACTTCGCCTGGGCCACTTCGTCCGGAGTTCCTGAACCGACAAGCGTCAGTCTCCCTTGTCATCGTCTTTGCTCTTCACCGAGGAAGAAGATTTGTCTGTAGGGATATCCTGGAACGTTTGTCTTTGGATCCACCCAGATCCTGCAGTTGGACATCCTTGCAAGCTGGGTGAAACAAAAGTCACAAACAAATATTTCCTCTGTCTTTGCCCTCTATCTCACTATCACCACTACCACCACCACCTCTCTCCTCCTCCTACCCCACCTCTTTGATCGTCCCACCGGACTTCCCTATCACGAGACCGATGCAGTCAGACGGCACCTGCAGCATCTCAGCTCAAAGGGCTTCAGTCCTGCCGCAAGGCTCGCCTCCATCATGTCCTTGGTTGAGCCTCGTCGATCTGCATTCGATCATTTCGCGCCATGCAGGAAGGATGCAAGCATGCGATACCGTCCCCGTCGCCTCCTCGCAAGTCAAGGACAAAGTAGCTCCTCCTTGGGCCGTGCGTACCATGAAAGGGCTGAACCCGCGAGCCTTCGGAGCTCAAGAAAACAACCTGCGCACGTTGAGCACTCACGGATACTGACAAGGTTACAACACTTCATACCGCCAACAGCAAGTTCCTCAGGCTTCCAGCATCATGCCTCTGCATCCTGCTCTGCAGTTTCGTCCTCCTGTCCATGGGGTACAACGAAGCGGCGCTCCCACTTCCGACCATGGGGCTTCCGACCTTGCGGCTTCCGGCCGAATTCGTTTTCATCCTCAGAACATTCGATCGATGCGATCTAACCAGCTCTTCGGAGGAGGAGGAGACAACTCTCATCCACATCCTCACGAGACGAGCTGCCCTGGCTCTCTCCTCTCCTCTCCTCCTCCCCTCCTCCTCCTTCCGCTCCTGCCCCTCTGCAGGCTGCCCTGCAGGCTGCCCCTCTACCTGCATTCCGAACTGGACGGGGACGAGGGCATCCCGGGCGAGCAGCAGCCTCAGCTGATTCAAGTTAGCCGCGGCGCCGGCCGGCCCGGCCCGGCCCGGCCCGTGCCACGGTGGCCGCAGGGCCGCGCCTCCGAATCCGGCGGCGGATCCGCCGAGGCACCCGGGTCCGGGCTGGCCCCGTGACTGCAGCGGTACCGGAGTGAGTTGGCGTATAGTACCGTAGTACAGCTCCCGGGCCTCGTCACGATTCACGGGGGCCGGGGCGATATACTACTGTGATTACCCCCGGCGTGCCCAGTGCCGGCCCGGCACTATGCCACCGCTTCCTGCCCCGGGCCGGGCAATCAGGCTCCGGGGGCCGGGCGTGGTAGTCCCGGACATAGTGAAAGTTGGCGTCATTAGACCAGTGATTTGCTTCTTTCAGTGACTCAAAGTTAAGTTAAAAATCAGTACGAGGACAATCAGGAGAGTCGAGGAGGCTTGACCCTGACACTGTCGCACTGGCCATTTGCTAGTCACGGTAGCGCGGCCGGTGGCCCGGGCCCGGGGCCTGGGGGCCCCGGGCCCGCCGCGCGGCGTACGGTAGATCGTAACGGGTAGTAACCGTCATTCACCCGGCGTGTTAGAGTTTTCAAAAGATTTGAAGGAGCGTGGTGGAGGAGCGTGGTGGAGCAGTTGATGGATGAAGCATCGGAGAATCCATGGGGCAGCAAGGCGGGGAAAGACGAAGGAGGGAGGGGGAGGGGGAGCGAGAGGGAGGGAGCATGAGAAAGAGAGGGAGACGGAGGAGGGGAAGGGAGGCTGCACGGGAGAGAGTCTTCCCCTAATTGTAGCGGAGCCGCAGAGTCTCCTGCCTGCCATTGATCGATTCGAGCACTGCTGAATCCGCACATGCTTTTACTGACTGCCTGCGTGTCACTCGCAACAGAAGTCGGAGCTTCTCGGACCTTCGACTCTGATGGAAGCGTAAACTTGACCAGGGGAGCAACCGTAGACATGCCCTCGAACTCAGTCACCGGTGAGTTCTCGTTGCCATCCCACCCATGACTTGGATGCGAGCAGAGACGTGCGCGCCAGTCTTCGACACAGAACCGCAGAAGATCAAAGATCACATTCTTGTGTACAGCTCTCATGGCAAGGTGTGAGATCGCTGAACATCACGTTTACATCCCAAAGCTCCCCTCCTCCCCTATCCCTCCTCGGATTGAATTGTTGCCGCGTATATTCTAGGATCCCACTAGCTTATGGTCGTTCTCGAGCCAAACGGGGATCAAATCAAGCTCTTCCAGGTTTGAATTCTTAGGCATGACTTGATGATCCTATCATAATGATGATCAAAATGGAGATGCTGATTGAGATGATGATTGAGATGATGATTGAGATGATGATTGAGATGATGATTGAGTTCATGATTGGTTGACTTTGTGACAGGGGATCCGACAAAGGGATCGTCAGAGAATATTCTGCCGGTGAATGCAGTTACAAGGTCTGAGGGGGTCGTCAAAATGATCATCTTGCCAGATGTCAAAGGACTCTACACCATACTGTTGACTTCAGCAGGTTTGTGATCAAGAACTGAAAGATTGCACATAATCTTAGCATATGATTCCTTCAGCCATCCCAAAACAACCGTCAAGACTGAACTTGATACAAAAGACTCTTGTCTTCCAGGTTGGACATTGAAACTGATGTGACTGTTTCCAATCTTGTTTTGACTTCGTTGCAGTGCCTTGTGCCTTCTGGACACAGTGGATTTCGTTGCAGTCTGCTTCTATCAACAGAGGTTACGGCCTTGTTGCTTCGATTGTAAGGCATGACAGGAGTTGGTTTCACAGGAAGGGAAAGACAAGACAATCTCATTCAGCAGGTTGATGTTGCAACGTCGAAGTATCTTTCTTCTCATCTTTGTCCTTCAGCATGATCCTCTCTCCCCTCCTCAACAACATGCATCGGATCTGCCTCCCCCTCGCGATCCAGACTGATGTCTGGGTGAACGTCGTGATTGACCTCGGTGATGGCAGGGGGAGGGAGACAAAGAGAGGGAGGAAGGGGAGAAAGCAGGAAGAAACAGAGAGGAAGAGAGGGGAAAAGCAGGGAGGGAAGAAAGGAGGAAGAAACAGAGGGAGGGAGGGAGGGAGGGCTGAAGGAGGGAGAGGGAGAGGAGTGTTTTGACGGATTCTTTGTAGAGGGTTTGATCCAACAGTACCATCCTTCCCTCACCTTCAGAGGTTGCTACTCCCGAGAGCTGCTGCTGTGCTGATGGGAGATATCAGGCCTTGAGAGAATCGAGCTTGAGACCGCCTGTCGTATCCGGAAGGTGACGGGAGATGATGGGGAGGGGAGGGAGAGAGGAGAGAAAGGGAGGGGAGGTGAGGGAGGCAGAGAGGGAAGGGAGGCAGAGAGGAGAGGGAAGGGAGGGAGGCCGGGAACGAGCGGTAGACATGACGGGTGGTGCAGATCTTCACGTTGCTTGTTAGACCAAGTGAGAGCAGCTTTACGAAGCCGGAGAGAAGCTCGATGAGCAGGGAGAGAGGGAAGAAGGGAGCATGGAGGGCGAGCATCGAGAAGGCGTCGTCGAGTGACAAGAGGGAACAGGAGGAGATAGCAGAGGTCGACTCCTCTGTCTCTTGTTGTGCTCAGATGGTTTTGATGTCTCCTCAACAGGAACTTCTCTTCCCTGCTACCTGCCAGCACACGACGCTCTTCATCTGCCAACATCCAGAGGGCACGGCACTCGGAAAGGATGGCAGGGAGGTAACAAAGGAGGGGATACGAGAGCTGGAGAGTTTCAAGTGAGTCGTGCGTGAGAAGGAGAAGGCAAAGACGAAGGTCGAGAAGACAGATCGGCTCAAGACTCCCGTTCTCCGCGATGCGTGGATCCTTGACAGCACATATGATGAAGTTGTTCTTTGACTTGCTGGAGACAGCTTCACCGTCAGCTGACGATGATGACTAGATGGCAAAAGCGTCAAGCTGTTCAAGTGAGGACAGCATCGGAAGATCAGGAATGTTCGACGAGTTCGATACCCCTGTCATGTGAGTCTCGCATGTGCTTTGAGAGCGTTCGAACGTGTTGACGATGAAATTTCAGAGACGAGGATAGGATCGAGGAGAAGGGGTATGACGACGGAAAGAAGCCGGAGGACGACAGGAAAGAACAAGAGTTGAATGACCCGGACATGTAACTCTCATATCTGTTGTCAACTGAGATTGTTTCTTGAACTGAGATCGTTTCTTGAACTCACAGAAATGAGAAGAATGTTGCGAGGTTGCACAGAGACAACGTCAAACTGTTCGCGTCCAAAGTCAGCCCGACATGCGCTGGCCTGGATCCAAGCTCTGACGTCCCTTGGTAGCTGCGAGCGGACGCAAAGCTACAGTCGCTCATGTCGGAGTACGACGAGCTGAAGAAAGATCAGATTCCGCATGTAAGTCTCCCGTGACGACCGTCTTTGCTGCTCCTTCCTGTGACGGGCAGCCAGCGAGAAGTGAACGATTACAAAGTCCGGAGGATGAACGAGCAGATCGCTCTCCTGCATGTTGAGGTAGGAGACCTCCTCCTCCTCCTCCTCCTCCTCCTCGCGGCTGCGCTCCTTCACTCCATCGATAGATGTCCAACCTCAAGTCGCGGGTCGAATCTGAGCACACAAGGAGCAAGCAGGTGATGTTCAGATCACGCAGTATCCCCGTTCCCCTCTCCCTTTCCCTCTCCCGCTCTCCTGCTCCCCCCTCGCTCCCGCTGCCGCTCTCCCTCTCCCTCTCCCTCTCCCTCTCCCTCTCCCTCTGTTTCTTCCTGGTTCCATGATGGCCATCCTGACAATGACGACGGAGATGACGATGGTTGCAGTTGGAGCTTGAGCTGGAGCGAGAAAGGGCTATCAACATTGATCAAAGATTGGAGATCCGAGAAATTCAAGCAATCCTTCTACAAGGTGAAAGCAGTTCTGATCTTCCTGCATGTTTCGGACACTTTCGGTTGCTTCCACAGCAGCCGATCTTCGTTATGTCTCTGCTCCTTTCTCTACATCCATTCCTCCTCCTCTCCACAGACTCCTCCTCGTAAATCTCCTCATTGCTCTTGCTCTTGCTCCTGCTCTTGCTCCTGCTCCTGCTCCTGCTCCTGCTCCTGCTCCTGCTCCTGCTCCTGCTCCTGCTCTCGCTCTCGCTCTTGCTCTTGTCAACCGAGTTGATGGGATGACTGCAAACAAAACCAGAGCGGAGGAAAATGAAATTGCTCACAAAGGACAACCAGATTCTGAACTCGCTGCTCAAGGTGCGCGAGAGCAGAAGCCTTTCATCTCCTCTTGCTCATAGTCAGTGCGCAGGATGGAGAGGAGAGCTTGAGGAGGCACCAGGAGACTTTCAAGACCAACACAGCAGAGCTGACTCAAAACTTCTTTGTGGGGATGCAGGTTTGGCCTTGCTGCTAGAAGCGATCAGTTGTGGGATGTTGACATTCACACGTTCAAGTTGTCCAAGGAGATAATGCATGCGTCGCAATCCCTGGCCGAGGTGAAGGAAAACCGCCGGCCCTCTCTGCTGCTAGGGCCAACGGACTTTGTCTGCAGGAGAACGGCGAGCTCTGTCAGAAGATTGAAAGACAGCACAAGGAGCTTGAATGCGAACAGACGGTGAGACGCGAGATTGGCGAGCATGTCTGACTGTGAAGATGAAGATGAGGGAATACCAACACAAAGAGCACGCGGCGCAAGCGAGAGAGTGGGCTAAGGAGCTTGCAGATCTCAAGGTCGGTGTATGGCGGAGCTGTCTGTTGATTGATCATTGTCACGGCAATCATGAATGGTTGTGTTTGTGTCTTGCTTCTTGCACGAGTTTTCTTTCTGTTTGGTATCACAAGACAATTCACTCGCTGATTTCTTCGTTGATGTGTTCCACCTTGCTCGTGCTGTGTCCTCTCTATACCTCTTGCCCTCCCTTTTTCTCTGTCATGAGAGAAATTTTGTCAGGCTGAGATAAGAAAGAAGGATGCCCAGATTGCAAAGCTAACAGCTATCAACATGTAGTCTCAGATCAACATCATGTTGTTGCTCAAGGTGACACGTGTGGTCAGAGAAACTGAGTCTGTTCGACTTAAGAATCAATCTTACGAGAAAGAGGTGATGATGAAAGTATGTCGACTTGAGGCTGACAGGCGAACAGAACAAACTGTTGTGCAGCGAGCTCTCTTGCTTGAAAGAGAGTGCAGGAAAGGTGAGTGACTTGAATTCTTCATTTCATCATCATCATCATCATCATCATCATCTTCATCATCATCTTCATCATCATCTTCATCATCATGAATGACGGGGATGGCGATGATGATCAAGGTGGAGCGAGACTTCCAAGTTTGCAAGGCAGAAAACGAGCGCCTTAGAAGAACACTATCAGACGCGAATGTGGGTTCTTGACTTCAACAGCTAGTTCTCCTGCTCATGGTTGTTCCTATCAGGCCCAGAAAGCGCAGGAGATAGAGAGGATAGAGAGAGATCATGCTGTCTTGTATGCAAAACAGGTTCTCTTCAACATCTTTCACTTGTCTATTCGTGATAACACCTTGGATTCAGGTTTACCGGAGTGAACGTGAAATGGAATCCGTGAAGAAGCGAGCTGATGATGTAAGATGGTGGAGATGTGTTGATAATGATGATGATGATGATGTTGGTGATGGTTGGTGGAGATATGTTGATAATGATAATGACATTGATGTTGGTGATGGTATTGTTGATGATTGTCTAACGATGAGTCAGGCTGAAAAAAGAAACCGGACATTGCAAGTACGCAGGTTTGACTCACGCACGTCTTCTGTGTTTTCGGTGGAAAATTCTACCATGTAATCTCTACATAAAATGTCAAGTAAAATCATCGTCACCATTATCTCCTCCTCCTCCTCCTCCTCCTCCTCCTCTTCTCCTCCTCCTCCTCCTCCTCCTCCTCCTCCTTATTACTTCATGACCCAATTCGTTATTGCGACCAGTGGAGACTTGATGACAAAAGGTGGGGTCAATGGCAGTGTATCAGGGGGTGGGGTAGTCAATATGAGACGGAATTGTTTCGGAGCCGAAAGGAGCGAGGAGGAGGAGGAGGAGGAGGAGGAGGAGGAGGAGGAGGAGGAGGAGGAGGATCTCGAGGGCTGGGATGTGAAGGAAGCAAGTCGACATGAGCCCGATCCTTCTCCTCCTCTGTTTCTTCCTCGCTGATCTCGTCCATGGATCGTCTCCTCCCCTTGATGCCTCAAGGGTCGTTCCTCCAGCAAGCCCCAGACCCTCCAACTCGCTGTTTGACGCCCTGTTCGCCCCATGCTGCAACGCCAGCGCATGGTTGATCCCAGCCATTTCCTCGCAGTGCTTCGGGCAGTTCGTAAGGGAGAGCACGAGCTCGTTGGACGAGTGTCAGATTGGGGTCCTGGTGGAGCAGGCCAAGGAAAACCTCGTCAGAGTCCTGACGGAGCAGCATGAGCTAGAGGCCAAGATCGAGCGGAAAACCAACCACACAGCATCCCTGACGCAGGAGCGCGCGCGGGTCGAGCAGCTCGTGCGGGACCTTCGCGCCGTCGCTGCTGTGCAGGGCTCGGGGGCACAGTCTGCGCATCCTGCGATCCTGCGAGAGCTGCTGTCTGAAGAGTCCCGCCTCCCCCTCCTCGCCGAGCAGATCGCCAAGAAGTGCTCGCAGATCGAGCAGCTGAAAGAGACGCTGGACGACTGCAGGGGGAGGGCGGAGAAGGCGAGGGAGGACATGAGGTCCCTCCTCCGGGAGATCCCGGAGAACTCAACGCTGTTCAACGAGACGAACTTGACTTCTAACATGGACTTCTCCGTGCTCTTCGACCGTATCGCCCCCAAAGCGTCGGAGAGGAGGATCAACTTGCGCAAGGTTGTCAAGGAGGTCTTCTCGCCCAGGAGCCTCGTCCTGCTGGGCACTGCGCTCCTGCTGGGGCACAACATGAAGGGGCATAAGGAAGGCGAGCATCGGGACAAGGAGGAGAGAGGAAGGGAGGGAGGAACCTTGCGAGATAGGTGGCGTAGGGCTGATCGGGTGACCGCAGCGTCCTCCGATCAGCGGCGCCTCCTCCCCGAGCATGTGGGGCGAACTCTCCTGCTGTTGAGGCCTGTGCTGAGCTCCGCGAGGATGCTTGCTGAGCTCCTGCTCTTGGTGCACGACCGAGTGATCACGCGCAAGTTCTACCAGGCGAAAGTTTTGATCGACCTGATCGGATCGAGGTTGAGCTCCAAGCAGACGCCAGCATGGAAGGGCTCGGCAGAGGTTTCCTCCTCCTCGCCCCTCGCGTCCGACACCGAGTTCTTCAACGGCCTCATCCGCTCCCTGTGGAGGGGGCCAGTTGGGCAGATGCTGGAGTCAGAGATTGCTCTGTCGCTTCAGACATCTCTCGCTCAGCTCGATGGGTTCGCATCGTTGAGGTGAAGATGAAATAGCGGATAACATTTGAAATTCTGACTTTACCCTCTCCTTCCCTCTCTTCATCTTTCTCCTCCTTCTCCTCCTCCTCCTCCTCCCTTGCTCTTCTTCCTATGGCAGGGTACAAGAAGTCAACCTCTCTACTCGATCCCCGTGGATCAGAGAGCTCAAGCTGCTCACGACCAAGTCAGACCAGGAGATCCAGCTTCTGTGCGTGCTGCGATGGGTGATGGAGGAGGGAGGAGGCTTTGAGATCAAGGGCTTCCTCAAACCCGCCTACATCCCCACTAGGCTCCGCCTCCATGGGTTTGATCTCGAATTCCCCATGTGGTGTCGGGTGCGCCTGAAGCCCAAGGTATCTCCCTCGAAGCTCGCTGACCCCAGCAGTGCCATCCAAGAGTCTCCCATCACCTCGGTAGCCATCGCTGCTCTGTCGCCCCCCAAGACCAGGTTCGACGTGTCGCTGCATGGCTCCAAAGTCTCTGCCATCCCCGGGCTGAAGGAGGCGCTTCAGTTCTCCATCGGGCACATGTGGAAGGACGTGCTGGTGCTCCCGAACATGGTCGAGCTCCTCCTCTCCCCCGATCAGCTGGTCGTCAGCGAGCCCGAGGCTGTTGGTGTGCTGAGGTTGCGCATTGTGCAAGCTGTGGAGCTCGTGGCGTCGGACTGGGACACAGGGCAGTCAGACCCCTACGTGAAGATCACGCTACATGCTGCAGGACGTGAGCCGCAGGTGATGGTGATGAGGGGGAGGAGAGGAGGAGTGATGATAACGAGGAGGGAGGGGGAGGGGGGAGATGATAAGGAGGAGGAGGAAGAGGGAGGGAGGGAGGGAGGGAGGGAGGAGGAAGAGGGAGGGAGGGAGGAGGAAGAGGGAGGGAGGGAGGGAGGAGGGAGGGAGGGAGGGAGGGAGGGAGGGAGGGAGGGGAAGAAGGAGGGAGGGGAGAGGGGAGAAGGGGCATCAGTAGTTTGTTGCAACAACAGGATGAAGAGGAGGTTAGAGAGGAGGGAGTGCGCGGATGAGGAGAGAAATCCACGGGGGAGCAGGGCAGACGTGTAGAGTCAACGAGATTTTCTATCTCACACCCGTCGGTGGAGCAGGTCAGGAAGACCAAGACCTTGGAAGCCACGTGCTTTCCAGTCTTCAACGAGCAGTTTGAGATGTTTGTCTTCAACGAGGATGCGGATAAGATCGAGATGTCAGTGTGGGATCATGACACCTTCACCTCCCACGACTTCCTGGGCAAGTGTGAAATCAACCTGAAGAAGGTCAGGACTGCTTTCCCGTCCTGCCCTGTAGCCCCTTGTTGCTTCTCTCTCGGTCCTTTCATAGGGCAATCCTCTACTCTAATCCGATTCTCCCTCCCTCCTCTCGCCTAGAGACCCGATGACTGACGGTCTACAGTTTCTCAAGCAGCAGGGAGGGAGGTACGGCACGTGGATCAACCAGTGGAAAAAGTTGGAGGGCTTGCGAGATTGTAAATCTCAAATCCAGTTCGAGCTCTGGTGGGAACGTCTGCGCATCCTCCTCCTCCCTCCTCCTCACGTCATGTCCGTGCAGGTATGACCGCTTTGCCCCGGACGTGCCGTCCTGCACCCGATATGAAAGGTGACGTAGCCTCGTTCCTCCCGTTTCAACCTCCAGCGAGCGAAGATGATATTTAAACAGTAGCATGATGTTAAAGGAAACGTTCTATTCCCCCTCTTCAGTTTTCAAGGAAGCTTTCAACTTCTCCCCTCAGCTTCAAAGGAAACTTTCAACTTCTCCTTTCAGCTGCTCAATGAAGTCTTGCAAAGTTTTGGTTCCATGCACCTGGGCAGAAGTGAAGATTAGCCGGATCGTCGATAATCAAGTCGATTCCACGTTATGTTGGTTGTCATTCCCAAATTCCAAACACTCACCACGTTGTCTCGCGAGCGAACATTCACCGCCGATAACTCCACCTGTTGTGATCTGAGAGAAACGGAGAGCAAGACTGAGAAGTTCAAGAGTTGTTGTCTCTGACCTCCTCTTTGCCAACAACAAGGATGTAGTTGTATTGCAGCAGTTGATTTTGCCTACAACAAGTCAAAAAGAATCAAGAGGCTGTTGTGTGTACCGGATCTTCTTCTTCAACGTGTTGTCCGAATCATCAACATACGCACAAAACCCCTGCAACAGGTGTCAGAAAGACTTCAATGTCTATCTGAAGAAACCTTCTCGATCAAGGTGGTTTCGACTTGTTGAGCATACGAGACCTTGTTGGCTGCTGTCAAGACATTGCGTGCAGAGATCAAACAGACCTGGTCCTGTGAGACTGGAAGGATTGCAACCTTGACGCAATTGACTCAGTCCTCGGCAATAAAAAGACAAAGTCATGAGGACCTGTTTCGGTGACAGCCACAAGGGGAGCTGAAAGAGCGAGGAGGGGAGAGGAAGGGAACGAGGAAAGGGGTGTGAGAAGGGAGACATAGTAATTGGAGTGGAGAAAGACGATTGTCAATGAAACAACATCAAAGATTGTATACAAAAGTTCACCTTCCCTGCTGTATGCTCAAGGATCATAGCAAAAAAACGCTCAACTGATCCAAAGATAGCTGTCCAGACGCGTCAGGAAACGAAAAGGCAGAGCGAGTAGTCTTGATTTCTCACCTCTGTGAATGATTACGGGGCGAGAAAACCCGCCGTGAACTGAGTCCTGACTTGCGAACGACAAGTTGAACCTCTCGGGCAGTTGAAAGTCCAACTTGTTCCAAGACAGTCAGGGAGCAGTGGTAGCAAGTCACAAGTCAAGTGATGAACCTGAATCGTCGCACATTGATGCCTTCTGTTTAGGGCGTCGACGACTGTGATGTCTACGAAAAAGTGAAAGAGTCATTGTGAGGGTTTCTGTCCTCGAGTTGATAGCACAGGACTCAACAAGGGAGTTTGACGTGTCACGCCAGCCACCTTCACTAGCACTTACCGATCTTCGGGCCATAAAAAGCGCCATCGCCGGGCTTCAGCTGCCATTGTTTTCCATGGGCCTGCAATTCATCTTGTCATGGTGGAAAGAAACAAGTTCTCCACGGATGCAAATTCAACATACATTCAGCGCATCTTCAAGCTGCTTCTCCGCCATGTTCCACTTATCCACACCCCCAACAAATTTCTGGAGAGAGGGCAGTAAAGGGCAGAAGTCACTTCAGTTTGTATCATCTGCACAAGTACAGAACCTCACCTCTGGACGCGTCGAGAGACAGACATGGTAGTCGAGGTTGAACCGAGAGTAGATGGTCTTGACAAACTCGAGCACGTCGGATATCTCTGTATATCGCAGAAACCATCTCTTACGACACTACAAGACGTCAGGTGGTTGGCAGAGAACCTTTTTGAACATCATTCAACTCGCAAAATATGTGTGCGTCGTCCTACAATCAAGAACCAAGTCACTCGGGCTCCAATCCTCGAGCTGTAGACTCACCTGCTGAAACCTCCGAACCCTCGTCAACCCGGAGAGGGCACCTGTAGTCTGCTGAGCTGACTGGCATTTGGTTTGAGCCCACACCTGCCAGCTCGTTGCGATGCAAGACTCCAAAGTCTGCGAGACGGAGCGGGAGTTCACGATAGGACCGACTTGCGGTGATGTCAAAACAGCCCATGGCGTGTCATCATGCTGACTTACGTCTTGCTTGCAAAGATTAGACAGTGACCTTTCCAACCATCACAAACAAAAGAAGAAGAAGAGAAAGAATACCTGGACAGTTCATCGGTTTCAATCCAATTGTCTCGCATGTCTCCTGATGAGACTGGCGACCTTTATGGATTCCATCTTGTCCTTGTTCATCTTGATTTACATTATCCTTGGTTTTCTCTGTCATTCCGTCGTGCTTTTCTTCAAACAGGAACATGTTTTCTCTGCCTATCTTTGAGCAGCTGATTCAAGTGCAAGAAACATGTACCTGTAATGAGCAGAATGCCCGCTGATATCCCACCTGCAAGATGTTCAAGTCACGAGAAGGTCAATCGCAGCAACGAAAATCCACAGTTTCATGTTGAACAAGTTTGGAGTGATGACTTCTTTGTATCTTCTTAACCGATATTCTCTTCTCAACATTTCGACAAGCCTTGACATTTCAAAAAGATTGTCACAGCGCAAAGACACATCCTAAAAGTCTCACCTGTTGTAGACAATTGCCCCATGTGGCAAGAAAAAACACGACCCTTTTCCGTGATTTCAGTCAGTAGAACAATAGATGATCTATGCTCTCTTACCCGGACTTAAAGGGTGAAACATGAAAAATTCCTGCCGGAGTGAGGAAAACGAATCACAATCTGCACAGGTAACATTGATAATCACCTGCTCCCTCCCGATCGTTCTGTGATCTCTTGACTTCGCCTCTTCGATCCAAGTCTGTAAGTAGAATAGAATGATTTGTCAAGATATGATCCGGTTGATGGCAAGGCAAGGCAAGGCAAGGCAAGGCGAAAGAAGACCTCATAATCCTTGAGCCGCTTCTTGTCCGGGAAGGATATCCCATAAACTCTCTGATTTCTTTTTCATTTCAAGGAATCCAAGAGGTGAAAGTACCTGCAATGCATCTTGTTTACTGTCCCCTTTCCAGTATGAGGATGATGTCTTCTGGATCGAGAATGCCTGAAGGGAGATGAGATTGCCTTCAACCTGCATTCTTGCACTCACTTTAACGATCCCTGTATGAGAGACGTGCGGGCCACGACACAGATCTGCAAGGATAAAAGGAGGAGATTGAATCAGAGGGGTTGGGAGAGTTGGTGGAAGGTAGAGAGGGGGGGAGGAGAGAGAACAAGGGAGGGAGAGAAAGGAGGGATGGGAGGGAACGGAGGGAGGGAGGGAGGGAAATGAGAAAGGTCAAAACTCCAAATCTTGGTGGGATGTACATTCACACCAATCAAAGGTCCGCACTGATAAGCCGTACACCTTCCACCATCCGGCACCTGGTGGAGACGTCAAGATCAGGGGCAACGCTAATTTAGCGAACCTTGCGGGCGATGATGTCGAGCTTATACGGATTGTACTTGAACATCTCGATCGCCTCTTCTTTTAGCATTTCATATCGAACGAATTTCTAGAAAGCGATCAATTACTGTTGTTGAGCTCTGGTTTCACCTGCTTCGATTTGATTATCGCAGCGACCTTGGACTCCAAGTCTGTCCAAAAGCTTCAGAGAGACAAATCTTCCTACTAGCCTCAACATCGCCCCGCTGCCTTCCTCAACCATCTACTACTCTCCTTATTCCCTTGCCCGCCGGTTACCATCATCGCTATAACTACCACACAACCACCACAACCATCACTGTTGTCATTACAAGCTAAGCAAGTTAGCAACATAGGTGAATCTCGGACTTACCCTTAATTTCTGTCATCGATATCGCTGTGCCTATCGCCTTTGTCAGATCAAAACATAATCATCGCAATGGTCAGACCGTTTGCAAGCCTGACATCATAGAAGAATCCTTCCTCCGTCGGAGGTCCCGTGACGAGGAGCGCTTTGTGCTGTAGCTCCAATGCCTGCTCGTCTCTTTGAGGAGGGATAGTTGAAGTCCTCTCGTATGCTGAGAACCTGCCCTAAGATGTGTGCAGAAGAGTGCCAGAAAACTTCTTTTCCCCTTTCATCATCGAAGGTCAGGAAATCAAGTCTGCGATCAGCGTTAGATCAAGTCCGATAAACTGGCGAGAGAACACATGCAATCTGCTTCCAGAGGTCGATCCAAATCCCACACGTTATCATTCACCTACATGCATGAACTCATTCGCCTGGAGAATCTCCTGTGAGGAGAAGCTAACCAGCGCTACAACAAACTCCGACAGTCTCTCTTTGGAGACATTAAGTGCTACTTCCTTGGGCGTAGTTTGTCCAGCGATCTGCAGAGGTGGAGTGATCGGCAGTTTGAAATGTAATATGTTCAATGTTGGCATCTTACTCCAGCATACTGGGTGCCGCCTTTGATTGAGACCTGTATGCTAGCTCTTGAGCCCTCCCTTTCCTTGTTGATCCTGCCACGACGGATGAGCTACGAACACGAGCTTTGAGGTATCTACCTTTCCTTTACCCTCTCCAAGACATTCAGTCGATGCTGCACAAACTCTGGCTCATCTCGGAAAGCTTGCTCCAGCTCTTCCTCCCCGTGCTGACCCCCTCCATAGATTCTATCGACGACAAACCCTTGCCCAGACCGTCGAGAGAGGACGGAAGCAGAGAGCCGCTGAGGAAGGCGCGAGAACGAAGAGAATGGATGAGGCAGAAGAGAAGTGCATGGAGAGTGGAAGTTCTCCGACTGATGGCCGCACAACCCTCCTCCCTGTGCTGCCATAACCACCAGCACCTCCAGCCATCGCCCAGCCCCCGCCATGCGGATCCGCCCCGTGGGGAAAATTCTTTTGCCCATGGGCCTGTGGTGCTGTCACTGAGGCGCGGGGTTTGCACAGAGCTGCCTTTCTCTCATCCTTATATGTACTCTCTGGGGCGGGTTGTGTGGCACTAACTTTGAGTAAAGGCTGCAATAGAGCCTCCTTGATGAGTAAAAACTAGGTACAAACTTTAACTCGGAATTCCAGGGGAGAGTTTTTGAGTCAGATATAGCCGCGATCGGCTATATCTTCTTGATATATCTTCTTGATATTCATCGGGTAAATAGGGCGATATGGTACAAATAAGCTCATGTAAATTACCGATAATAGTGCAACTTGAAAACTCACCCCTGATTACTAAACTTTTTAATGTGGAAACGTTGCTTATTGAGTCGCTTCCCCCCCGCGCGCTCCTTACGGCTGCGACGCTGAAGAGCCTTAGCTTCGCTCATCTCCTCTCGCACCGCAACATCGCTCACATTCTTCAGACCCTCCGCTCCTCTCATACATCCGCCTTCAGTGTCGTCGGGCTCCCGTAAACTCTCAGCGATTTACGCCACCTACACCGATGTCAGCAGCCTCTGCCGAGTCATCAGTCACGCGCGCTTCTGATCTCTATCTTAGCGATTCCTTGCCATCTCCTCAGCCTTCTACAGGACATGAGCAGCAGGGACGACTTCATCTTCATGCAGTCAGGATCTTCCCCCGACGCCGCAAGTTCGAGACGCGTAATCGCCGCATGCCTTCCATCATTACTGTCCAGGATGTTCAAGCCCTTATGACGCTGAGCCAACGAGAGGCTGCTCAGGAGCTTGACATCTCCTTGACAGCACTTAAAAATGCCTGCAAGAAGTTGGGAATGGGTTGCTGGCCTTACGTGAAGAAGGAATACCACGGTGCAAAGAACGAGGGCATCGAAACGTATTCACGCATGCATGATCGACAACGATCGACGGAAGAAGACGAGAGGGAGGAGAAAGGAGAGCAAGAAGAGCAAGAAGAGCTGATGAAGAATTTCAGGACATGGCGTACGCCAGATCTCTTAGATGAAATTATTCATATGATGGATACCGCTAGAAAGTAATTGTGCAGACCGATAATTCCTTGCGGTGTTCAAATGGAGGCAAAACATGGTGGCGTGCAGATAATCGAAGTTGTTTGGAGCTGGAAAACAAGAATGTGTGTTTAATCACTCGAACTGTGCAATTTTGCGAGGATATCTGCATTTATCTGGTACACTTTAAACAAACGTACTGTAATGAAAGACAAGACACTACCTGCTTGTCACTGACTATCTGCGCACATAAGCACAAACTAAAAGCATGTATCCAAGCTGACAATCGTTGACAGGCAAGCCGCGACATTACCCTGTTACCAGAGCTTGCTAGCAAAGCGAGCTCAACTCAGACTGGACCTTGTTACCCAAGGTAACGGACAGTACTGAAGGCTAGGCTAGCCTTGATCCTCAACAAATGTCAGGCACAGGACTCTCACAGGACTGGAAGCATATAACGGCTAGACGTGCTCTCGGAATTACAATCCCGTTTCCTCTATCCTATATAACGATCAGCCTCTTCAGGGTAGAAGGGTCTATTCTCTCCTTATGTTGTATGCCACGCTTGTGTCTAGCATCGCTTGTGATGTACACTAGACATCACTGCACTACACCTTTGTGTGTGATCCAGTGGAGGTGCCTTGAGCAATTTGCTGTAGATGTCTGCTTCGGGGTGTGGCACGCCATCACAGCTGGTACAGTCTTTGAAAGATTCGATGCAGATTCGATGCATTTCTCAAACGCAAATTGGCATAATTTATGTAAATAAGACTGAGAGAGCGCTGGATTCAATGATGTCGCTCAGCAGCTTTGAAACTGACATTCTCACGTTGTGCTTTGGTGAATTGCCAGCCCTCTTATGTTGGTAAGCCAGGTAGATATTCTTGAACATAGGCATTTCCGCAACTCTGAAAAGAATGTCATCTTCTACCAGACTTGAATTGTTCTCTGGTATAATAGTACATGTCATCATATTCACGTTCGATGAGTTCACCTGAAGTTTTAAGTTCTAGATACTCTCCTCCTCGGATCTTCGCACGACAGCTGATGACGAACCAAGTATTGGTTTTCATAATCAATCATCACGTCGTTGTCTCGCATTGCCTTCAGCTGCATGAAATATTTTTGTGCATGCGACCGCACCTGCGCTTCTGTCCTTGTCATTACGTAGTCTGCTATTTTAGTTGCAACGCCTCGACCCAGCCCGAGGCCTTTCCCTCCCTCCTTGCACGATGCAGTGGATGGTAGACTGAATAAGGCGAGAGCTTGTAAGAATCGATCATGCTCGACCTGTGTCCACCGTCTGGAGAGGCAACTCTTACTGGGTGCAGGAGAGCTGCTTTCTTGGCCAAGAGAAGTTAAGGCATCGTGAGCAATGACCCATTCAAAGAGAGAGTAGTTCCAAGAGGAGGAATCAGCAGCATACGAGTGACTGGCGGCAGTAGAAACTATGGAGGCCTTGTACATCTTCTGCCCTGTGAGTCTGTAGATATTCAGGAGCTTAATCAAGATGGAAGGCGAGGGAAGAGTTGAGAAAGAGAACAAGCAGTCAATCGTGGAATGCCATCACTGGGCGAGGAAAAAGATATTGCAGGGGTCAGTCTGGGGACAGGGGGGGTCATTCATAGACCCGCTTCCAGGGGTGATCAGTGGTCAACAGTACCGTGGCTAATTGTACCGCGAAGAGAATCAGTCAACATTTACAAAAGAGTCACAAGTACCAAACGGCGTGAGATGGCTAGCCCGAGCTGTAAATGAGCAACTGATCCGATTCCAACAGCAACTGAGTTCACAGTTTCAGTACTACGGTACCGTACTGTACTACGTGACCGGAGCTTCGACTGTATCGCCGGTACTATACGTCAATACTATTACTCGCTGTCTTTTTTTTTTTGGTACCGCGAAGAGAATCAGTCAATACTAAGTTTACAAAAGAGCCACAAGCACCATCCTAAAAAAAATGTTTCCGATTCCAAGTTCACAGTCGCAAGTTCAGTCACGTACTACGCCGGAGCCTCGCTTCGATTATATCAGTCGTACGTCCACTCTTTACTCAAAGTTAGTACTATAGCCTTAGTAGTGACTCATGACCGCACTATTACTGGCATAATAATGGAAGTTCTTGTTCCAAGCATCGGTAAAGCTGTCTTTTCTCTTCTCGCCGTTTGGCCAGTGCGACCATCCGTGCAGGGTCAGGGTCAAGTCTCCTCTACTCTCCTCATTGTCCTCGTACTGATCTTTAACTTAACTTTTAGTGAAGCTGAAGCGTCTAGTAAAGCCTTTTTTCAAGCTTGTTGAAGACTGAGCTCGCCGGGTCTCTGCTCGGGCGCGGCCCGGCCACGGGCCGCCCGGCCCGCCCGTCCGCCCGCGGCCGCGAACGATGCTTGAGGGTGCTGCTGCGGCGGGCCCGCCGGGTTGAATGGGGCTGAATCTGGGGCTGAATGGGGTGACGTAATGAAATGTGGGATGAGGGAGGGAGAACGGCTGGCGAGACGAGAGCGATAGGAGAGGAGACAAGAGCGATAGGAGAGGAGACGAGAGCGATAGGAGAGGAGACAAGAGCGATAGAGCGACAGGAGAGGAGACAAGAGCGATAGAGCGACAGGAGAGGAGACAAGAGCGATAGGAGAGGATTGAAGGATTTCAAAAGGAAAGAGGTTCATCGTAAGCTCTGCTCCCAACTCAGAAGCTGCTCGGCCGAGAAAGCAGAGTTTTCTCTCACCACCTTTCGCAGTATAAGTGGCAGAGTCAACACAAGTCAACATGTCTGATTTGCATGTAACACCCACGTAAGCTTCAAGAAGTCCTGTTGAGATTGATGCCTCTGAAGTTGTTCGAACCGACAGCAATACGCCGATCTGTCTGCTAGACGCCAAGGAAGCCTTTCATGGGCTGACAGGTGAAAGTGAACTACTTGCTCCTGCGATTTCTGAAGCAACTGGAGGGCAGAAAACGAGAAGCTCTATTCGTATCATCTCAATGTGGGATGCTGGGCCGGCGCCCTATCTTGCCTCGCGCAGACGTCTCCCGAGAGCCCAAAGTTCTTCCTCCTCCTCCACAAACTGTTTGCGGCAGATGATGTAGCAGACTTGGAGAAGAGGTGCCTTGCAAGTATCCGTCCTGTCCTCATCAGAGCCATCATGATAAGTATGTGAGCAGATGGCGTACAGCAGGAGGACTGGGACGCTTTCATCCAGTTCTGTGCATGCTTCTACGGCAACATGGGAAACTACCTGTCTTTCGGCGACACCAAGTTCATTCCGCGCTGCGGCTCTGAGAAGATTGCGAAGATTGTGTCCCTTTCTTCCAAGGGACCTGAACTGGCAGAAGACGTAAGATACGCTAACATGGAGGACCGACGCTCTGATCGACATGTGCAGTGGAAGAACATCGAGAACGACATCTACGATCTCTCCGAGTGAGCTTGCATGTACTTGCTGTCTGTCTTTGACCTTGAGCAACCCAGTGCCAAGAAGCAGTTCGGGTTGGACGGCAAGGGGATCTCCACATACTATTCTCCAGGTACCTCTTGAAGAATTTGACGCGTCCCGCGCTCGTTTGTGAATGGCATACTTGCGTCTAAAACAACAATCATCAGACATGACAACGGCGGAGATTCAAGTGGTACAGGTGTCGCTCTTTGACCTGTTCTGCCAGCAAGTCGCTGAACTGTCGGTAGGATTTCTTGACTTCTCAGAACATGGGCGACCAGGTTGGTAGTGATGTCAATGTCAATACCGAAATCCAGATTGATAAGTTATCGGTAAGGCGTACAACACGAGATTGTTCAAGACATCGAAGGATGGCGAAGTTGTGTATCAGCTCTGCATCGCCTCAGCGAATCGGCAGGAGAGCGCGATGCATGTCTTCAGGTGACCGATGGGCAGCTAAGGACGGCCAAGGTGCTGAAGGGGAAAACGGCAGGGATGTCAAGATCGAGGTCAAGTACGGCGACCACTCCCCTTTCATGGGCGAGCTAGCCAGTGAGTTTTCAACATCTTTTCCATTGGTTTTGTCCGTCTGCGATGACCATGCACCAAGGGGCAATCGAGAGGGCGTCGAAGTACGTGCCGGAGGAGAACAAGGACCGTGTGGAGATGTTGAAGCACTACGTCAACTCCTTCAACTCAGGCACTCCTCACTGTTCTGTACTGCCCCCGCTACGATGCTGATCGCTACCCTGAACAGGAAACATCCAGGACCACAAGGACTCGCAGAGGTTTTGAACTTCTTTCCCCTCCTCCGCTCCTCTTCCACCTCTACTCCCCTCTCCAGTCCTCTCTCCTCCATCCCTGCATCCAATCCATCCCATCCCTCCCTCCCTCCCTCCCTCCCTCATCCTGCCTCTCCTTGCTCTGACCAATCATTCATTCTTTGTGCGTCCTTTACCCATATCGCCATGTCCTTTCATTTCACACCTTTTGTGTTTCTGCGTCTCTCCTCAATTTCAAATGGTCCCCCCTATGACTGCTACCACCTCGCCCATGTTCTCCTCCTGCTTCCTGATCTCCTTCTTCCCCTTGCCCCCCTCCCCCCCTCTGTTCGCCAGACGAGCTGATCCTCCCTCTCACTCTCCCTCTCCCCCTCCCTCTGATCTTCAAGTCTGCAGGAGCTGGGTGAAGGACAAGGGTCCTCCTGTGGAGACCAACAT